AGTAAGCGCCACAGCGTTATATAACCACAGTAAATGTGCTAACTTATGAAATGTTAATCGAAATTCCAAAATTCGTTTTCGCTCTGAAGAGAATAACTAATTAGGGTTATGTAAGTAATCATCGTGCAGCGTAATTCGATAATAATTCAGGTACCTAAGGATGCCGGCCTTCGAAGGAATTTCCAACCGACTGCATGAAAAAACTATACTCTGCAAAGAATGCCTACATAAGTAGAGTGCATTTTTCCTAGTGATTTTCGATTTCCTTGAATATTCAATTAATATTTCATGGAAAAAAACGCATAAACATATTTATCCTCTTGCTTATTCAGTGTAAACTTATGTCTTTTTTCCAATTTTATGCTCGAAGGAAAGTGGTAATTCGGTTTTCAAAGACTTTTCCAATTTCAGAATAGTTTTGAACCCGACTTGCCGTTACGCCTGCATTCGGAGTTTCCAAATTACAGGCCGTATATTTTCCGCGTACGGAAAACCATGCATTTCTCTACGGTGTTAAGAGGAGACCATGTGGTGTTCATGAAATTTAGCAGTGAATTTGAGCCATATTGTCAACTCTACAAGTCAAATTGGTAAATGCAGACACGTGACGTTTTATGAAGGGTCATTTCGCGGTATTAAAAAATCTCACAATCTGAAACTTTTCCAAAACCGGATAATACCATTCCTTTCAAAATAAAATTGGAAGAATACGTAATTTTCCACCGATTGAACAAAAAATGAATATTTCTATGTATTTTTTCCATGAAATATCATTGAAGTTTTAAAAGCACCGAAAATCAATGAAAAAATGTATGCTGATTAAGTAGCCATTTTTATAAAGTATGCTTTTTTGCATGCAGCCGGAAAGAAGTTCTTTCGAAAGCCGACATCCCGTAGCAACTTAATTATTATAGACTTATGCTGCAGCATGATCAATTTACAACCCTGCTTGATTAATCTTTTCGGAACGAAAACGAACTTCGGAATTTTGGTTGACATTTCATGAGGTAGCTCACATACTGTATGATTTGCGTTCTTTGAATCAGGTGTGGACATTAATTGAGTAACATTCCATTAAAATACCAGGAAGTGGACTTACCCTGCGGCCCAGCGGCACGTGCCTAAAAAAGTACATAAAAATAAAATAATGAAAATATACTTTTTGCTCTCATTTATATGATAAATTATGCCCTATAAAAATCTCCTAGTTGAAGAAACGATACCACTATGTTTAAAGAGCTTGTGATTATAAGATTTTAGAACCGTGATGGGTCTGTTCTACTAGCATCCATCTGTCTGTTTATTGATACTCTTTACAACATTTACAAGATGGTTTATATTAACTGCAAACTTAAATGAGGTTTTTAGGACAATTTATCGGAAGTGTACAAGTTACTGTTTGAAAGCGAGGAGGTCGCGAGACAGCAGGGTGTTCAAGCAGAGAAAAATAACACACGAGTAGACAGTTCGTAAAAGCAAACTGAGCACGCTTCGGAAAAACCGGAAGTGTCCATCGTCCAATCAGACATCGTCTTCCGTAGCCTCGCACTGGATTGGTTCTTCCGTTTCTACAACAAGTTTATATCAGATCAAGAGAAATAACAAAGGCAAGGTAATGGGTAATAATGAATTTCCATCACAGGTCCATATTCACTGTAAACGTTTATGAGGTTTTTATGACACCTTCATGGAGGCGTATAAGTTATTATTTAGAAACTCTAGGTGCAAATTCGAAGGTAGGTCGAGCGAAAAATAGTATTCGGGGATTGAAGTAAATCTCTGAACACTGGATAATATCAATTATTTGCATGCAAAATTTAAAGAAGATACCATTTACTACAATTACAGTTCGACTGTTGCGTGTGTTTCTCACCATGGAAGGCGCGGAACAGACGATTTACGCGCGAATTAGTTTATAATGATATCAACCCTACGAAACGGATGCTTGTGGAAGGCGAAACGATCGCTGGGATAAGAGCTTTATTAGCCTGACGTTGCGGATTCCTGCTCGAAGCCATCATCAGATACAAAAGCAGATAGGGGCGGTTCATGCACAAGGAGCTGCAGTATTTACAGGAGGCAGTCGCTATGCTACCGCATACCTATGAACATTCACGGCTGCCCCCCCCCCCTTTCATCAGGGATCGTCGCCCTTGGTGTGCTGATTATTTGATGGCCGACATTCGCGTTGTTAACGGCTGCGATTTCATCACGTGTGATGGGTGTTGGTGTGATGATTGCTCCACCATCTGATCCACCGACCCTGGAGTTGGGAAAGGTGTTCACTTGTGCGCTCCCCGCGTGGCTAATTACTTCGCCAAGACGAAGTCTCAGCATCGAGTATGGAAGGGGAAGTTCATTTCACTTGTTAATGGACTAGGGGCCAGTACACCATGATTCAAGTTGCTCCCGCCTCATGCTGTTGTCACCTCTTGCGAGAATTTCGGCCTCTTCGAATTTGAATGTGTGGCCGGATCTCGTCGAATGAGCCGCAACTGGAGAGCTGACATCATTTCTCCGCACCGCTGCAGCGTGTTCGGCCATTCTCGTTCGGAGCTGTCTTCCGGTTTCTCCGACGTAGTTGCTTTGTCCGCAACTGCACCAGATCCGATAAACGACTCCAGAGGCTGCTAACCATAGCAGTGGATCTTTCGGTTTCATTACCGGACGCCTGACGGTTGCCTCCGGTCTGTGTGCAACTCTAACCCCAAGTGGAACTACAGCCCCTTCCGCATGAACCATCCGTATCTGCTTTTGTCTCTCATGATGGGTTTGAGCAGGAATCCGAAACGTCAGGCTAATAAAGCTCTTGTCCCAGCAATCGTGTCTCCTTCTTCAAGACTACTTCCTGGCAATCCTCTCTTCGCTTCTATTGGAAACGAATGCTGCCGTCTCCTCCCCTCCCCCCCCCCGCCACCAATAACCTGGATCCAGAGACAGAGCAGAGTCAAAACCACTGGTGGCAGGCTCGGGCATAGTTACTGACCAGGTTAAACGACTCGCCTACGCGTGCCACACGCAACCTGGCATCTTTGCAATCTACCGGACATTCACAGGAACAAGGACGGCTCGAACCCTATCCGGGTGGGAGTGTCGTTGGGCTGTCATTGCAGCCGGACCTTCCATCCTGAGAGGACAGGGTTGTCCTGCCATTTGGCAGCCTTTCAAGCCATGACTTTCAGCACGTTGTGACGGTTTGAACGCGCGTCAGATTATGGTGAGGCATACGCTGAAGTGCCGTGGGAGGCGATTCCTCAGTGGCACCCCCACTCCCGCATCCACCAGTCCGTTGTCCGCGTCGGTCAGCCGAGTGAAATTGGCAATGGTGCGCAAGTGGACGGCGCGACACGATCCTGCGCCTAGGCGCGCCACCCCATGTGCGATATTTGCTGTGGGACGTGCGGACTTTGTGAAGCTCCGTTGAAGTATGCTGTGTCCTAATCTGGTCTCCCTCTTCGTCTATCGCCGCCTGATAGGCATCTGTCCTGCCCCTTTCTTGCCCCTGTTTTGATCCAGCAGAACGGCTAACTCTCGAGGAGTGGTTCTCCGATGCCAACTCTATCAACAGGCATCTGGACCTTCCTACAGCTTACAAAGTCCTACGTCATCACAATCGTAGGGCTCAGGATCACGAAACCACACTGGACTTAAGAAGGCCATACATAGACAGACCGACGGCGAGTTTACTCGGTGAGGGAGAACAAGAACCGCCAGACCGTCCTCCCGAAAAAGGCTCAATCAGCTCCCCCCGACGGAGTGGTGGCTCACAAAGCACTCAGTCAAAACGCCGGTCAACCATCCCCCGAGAGGCCGGGGCAGCAAAATGAGGGAAAAGTCGATCAACATGATGCCGACCAACGTGACATGCCACTTGAAATTTCTGAACGATTAAGTGCTTTTTACGCTTTGACGATGGAGAGCCGAACAAGCTCCTTGAAACGTCAGCTTTTAAATAAACCTGTTCCGGAGAGCCCATCATCATCTCCCTCTTCTTCAAATAATCAACCCGGATCTCTCAACTTTGCCAATCCGAATATATCAGCCATGGCCCATTTCAGCGGCGGATTCGCTGCAAAATAAACATGAAAAAATTATTGTGCAGTCTCAGAAAATATGGTTGGATTTTAAAAACCATTGTAACTCAACGAAGAAATCATGCCACCTATGTTTTCATTATTTGCGGAAGTGATTCTTGCAGATGAGCTAGTGAACGCGAATTCAAATGTTGGAAATCATTGCGTGGCAAAAAAAGCTTAAAATTTTGCAGAAAGATAGTCAGTAGTATACTTTGCTTAAGTACTAATTTCCAGTCGAAGTCGATTCTCCGAAATTCATTTACTGTTTCATGAGTTGTGCCATCTTCTGTTCAGTGACCCTCGTGCGTGTTTCCCATTCTCACGTGTGTCAATACAAAAGTTCCAGCGTTGGAGTGTTAACGTCTGAGGCAAAAGGTCTGATGAACAAAAAATCCTTGGGCCACTCAACTTATTATCGGACCTTCTGGAGGCATTCGTTCAAATGTGCATTTCGGATATTTCTGACCTACCCTGCGTCTGCCTCCACTGCCTTATGTGTGGCGAGAGTCGGTAAGGACGCTACTATCCATCATGAGGTCGGGACGTAAGTAGAGCTACGAGTTCTGATTAGTGGGATCTGTCGTCATGGCGCAATTCACGCATGCCAGCGCTGACTAGACTCTCAACCGCACAAGACTGCAGCGTGAGCACGAGCTGCCAACTGACGAATCCGGTTGTACGCGAGCCCAGCCTGTCAGCGGGGCGCGAAGCTCCCATCTCATTGGTCGTGAGCTTGCGTTTCCAATTAGCAGAAATCAGCAGATGTTCGCAGCCTAAACGCACATGTAACACTCACTATTTCTGCCGTTCCAGCGTGCCTGACGAGCGCAGACTGAGGCAAGCGAGGACGAACCAGAAAGCATGGTAACGCAATCGACAAGGGAGTCCTCGAGGCATGGCCAAGGAGAGAGGGAAACCCTGGTCATGTGCGCATTGATTAAGTGCGAAAGTTCCCCAGGACCTCTCAATGAGGGTGCCATTCAACGCGTGCATGAGAGAGCCCTCAAGAAAAAGAAGAAGCAATCCGCGGACAGGTACGTTGCCAGAGCTACTTCAACACGGGTCATATTCGAGAGCATCGACAACGCTAAGAAGCTAGAGCCTATCGCGCTGGCAGATGTCACTGACATCGGCAGGAGTCGAAGTGATGCAAATGTTTTCAGCTTCCAAGTTCAGCAGAACACGAAGAAGAAGGAGAAGAAGCAGAAGAAGAAGGGGGAAGATAAACAGGAAGGCGGTCCCGTGCTCCTCTACCTCATTCGTTTCGAAGACGATGCGGGAGTAGAGACATTCTTCAGTGCAATCAATGGGAAAAACGACATCTCCCACTCTTTCGAGGGACCCTCGGGAAATGATACAGAGAAACGAGAAAACAGTAAGCAAACGAAGGCAGGTAGGAAGGAAAATGCCGGAACCGCGAAGAAGGAAGGCTTGTCAGCAGGAACTTGGAAGAGGACAGACGATGAGAGTACAACAGCTGGAAGCAAGAGGAACGGATGTCAGGCTGTAAACGGTACCTCTGAAACTTTCAACCACTCCTACTTAAATGAAATGTTTCTAGGAAACACAGCAAATGTTTCAGGTACTAATCAACCGCCTGCGGATGGTCAGTGGACTTTCTTTGCTTTTCCTGGCTCTCAAACGGACACACATCGCAGTAAAACTAATGGTACATCCTCCAGTCGCCGCGACGACAACATGAAAAAGCTCCCAGAGGTCCTCCAGCGACGAAACAATGCCGCCTCCACGCAGACCTTCGTTCAGTACCAACCTCCAGTGGGACATTACCGTGTGGCGCCCACGCGCAAGAGTCGTATGACGGTAGACCCCTGGGAACAACGATCCTTTCCACGCCGTCAGGCCTCCATGCCACCCGACGATCCAACACCCCCCACCGAATCATCCGTGACATCCGCCTCATCTGATGTCACTCTGCGCTGCTCAGTGACCCCTGTCCACCGGGATACGGACAGTGAAGTGGCCTACGAGGAGGCCCGACGGCGACGGAGGGGAATGTACAAAAGTTACCGGTGTCGGGACCAGGATTCCATCTTCTATGGCGAGCGCATGTCCCCCGAGTCACAAATGCTAGACCAAATGGTAAGGCAAACATTCACCCTTAGGCATGACGACTGACTTTAGTTTCGTACTCTAAGTAGTCTTACTGCATGCTGTAAACCTCCTCCCCGTCCCTCTCAAAAGTCAGCTGAGATATATACATATCACCCCACCCTGTTCTCCGCAATATCACCGCAACTACTTGGCGCGGTTGTGCCGCCAAACGACCAATATTTTTTACACGAGAGTAAAATGCCTTTTTTTAAAAAATGCACCCACGTCTGCTCTCATGCACTGCTGAAGAAAGTTTGCCAAAACGGTGGGCTCCCTGGAAAAAAGCTAGGACCTAATGACGTATCTTTATTTTGCTGCATTTCGGTGGGAAATATTCTCTCATGCAGAGGCGAATATTGTTAGCAAATTAACCATCAGCTACTCCATCTGGTTCTCAGCTCAGCAGGGGTTTCTGTATGGAGTGTTTCTGGCTTTTTTAATTCTCTCAAAAACCAGTCGCTAATTTGGAGCAAATCAGTCCGTTTAAGACTTATAGGCTGTGGTTGAATTTTGATATGAATATTTGGGTCGAAGTCCATCCGCCATAGCGAAATAACCGCGTGATTTTCATAAACTGCCAACAGGCAGTCTATAAGGCTCAAGTAGACTGAATAATTTCTGAGGAAATTACAAAGTTGCGGTTTCAAAATTGGAGTATCTACCAGAAAGGCCCGTGGGAAACGATGAGGGACCTGCTGATGAGCCGAACACCTCGCAGCTGTATCATGCGACGGCTGAAAATCGGCAAAACGCGCGGGTCTGGGTTTTTAGCCAGTGTCTATGCTGTCAAATATGTTATATTGTGCCATCTATGGAGGATTTCTAGGCCCTGATCAAGTAGGAAAGCGTGAGAGAGAGGGAGGGAAAAACCGCTAAACCCACATACAATCCGAGTTCCTCATGTGGACGCATGCAGGCTCAGATCCAAGCGCTACATCTCGGGACTGTTATCCTAAAAAAAGGTTGTGTAGTGTCTACTTACATTTCAATTTGTCGCGTTTCGACCGGAAATATTTCACAAATGAAACATTTTTCCTGGGTGCAAGTAATTACCGTTTCGAAGTGGAGCATTTGGCCAGCTGCTGGGCTTGCGACGGAGGCGGCCACTGTTTGTTTATTCACGGGAGCGAAATGTCTACTTCGCTAGCTCCAACACTGTCAAAGAAGGCGGTTCAGGCGCTCACAGACACACACGAGAGTTCTACCGTCCGTTTCGCGATGTCCACCATGTGCTCCACGGCTAGGCGGAGCAGGGACGATGAGTTGCGCCTGAATTAGTTTAAAGTAATAGTAGACTTGCACAGCATTTATCGCGCACTCTCTTCCCCATTACCACCCGCAAACTCCACAAAACAGGACTGTCTGCCTCACACGTCCGTTCGGTTTTATTAAATTTTAACAAAACATACGTCCAAACTCACAGACATTATTCTGACAGATCCTGACGAAAAGAATATCGAGTCGACAGAGGAGAGCGCAGCGGAAGAACGCCCAACGCTACCTCAGGACTTCGGCGGTTCGCCCGCGTTGCGCGGCAAATATTTTCTGCCCGAAGCTCTATCGATTTCGTGAGATCTGTTCCTGAACATTTTCGTTGGAACTCGTTTAATTGCCAGCTGGGCCTGAGTAAATTGCGCAAGTCTCCAGGGTGTTTTAAAAACATTCCAGCACATCGAGCCTCTTTCTGGTGAAACGAAGTAAGACGGGTAAGCAGTTGGATCACCACGACGGGGTGCTGTGATATGTAAATTGCAGGATATGACAACGACAGTCCGACCGTCGCGTGCGACGGTGTCCGCCGCGTGCCCCACGGAGTGGACGCAGCACCGGTTATTCGTGCGTGAATTAGTCCATACTCAAGCAGACTTGCACAGCATCTAGCGCACTCTCTCCTCTCTCACCCACCTGGCCCCGTTGTCAAGATTACCGGTCAGGCGTTAGGTCGCAGTGGCTAAGCTAATTAAACAATTAGTCAGCACGTGCCACAGACGATCTGGGTAGCGCGAAATGCATCAAGACTTCACGGAGAGCCCCTTTGAATTGGAAGGAATGAAAGCTACTGAACGTAGACGTGAACGAGAGTAGCACTGGCATTTGCGGGTGGGTAGACAAGCCTGAGCCGATAAAATGAAAACACTGAAGTAATGAGCTAGATCCCAACTACTTTCGGGCGATCAACTAATTGACCTCTGCTTGGACAGGCCGGGTCGCACAGTCTGGTTACTATGGTGGAGGGGCACCCATCGATCGCGTCGCGGAACTCACTCGTCCCGTTGTGCCATGGGGCACTCTCTCTCTCTCGAGTCTCGCCAGCAGCCGCACAGCGTTGCGGAATATAGGCACAATAGCATTACCAACAAAGACGGGGGAGACTGACGTGGCCGCTGTCAGCCCCCCACCCAACCTCGAGGTATGCAACACCTGTGGATCGATCCCACCACCTGTCCGTTAGAAGTTGATCACCCTAACCATTGAGCCGCGGGCTCGTTGTTCTGTCGGTTGGACTTCTAACCAACTAGCCGCGGAATCGAGCCCCAGATGTTAACGTCTCGAGATTGCGTATGGCTGGCTGAAGACGGCTAATTCGCCAGAAATGGCCATTCCAGTTTCTCTTATCCTTGCCTATAATGCTATCCAGCCTGGTTACCATCGCTTCTTCCTTAGCAGGAGCGTCGAGGCGTAAAACAAGTGAAGGCGTGCATGTACGTAGAAACGCGTTACGGAGATGGGCTTTCCTTGCGCTGAACGCTCATGATCGAATTATTTAAGAATAGAGTTTGTACCTTAATGACTGGGAGGATCTGCAAAATGGTCTGACAAATGTCTCTTTATCAACTCACAGTGCCGCCTTAGAATAACAGCCTTCTACTGTCAACCTCCTCACCTGACGTAATTGTATTCTGTCAGCTGGGTCGCTCAACCATATCCTTTGAAATAAAGCTGTCTAAATAAACGTTTTCGCGGTGCAAGTTCGGAATTCTCCCTTGTTCGGCTTCAGTGTTGTCGCGCCAAAAGTGTTTTTTCGCACTAAGTTGAAGTTCTGAATCACTGGGACTTATCAATCAGAGGCTGCGCACCGGCTGAACCAGATCCTTCCCCAATGACCGTTTCGTCAGGCATTCGAGTTAATAAATTAACCTAGAAATGAATCCTTTGAGATTTCTAGATCACAGATAGGGACGCTATTTGGCGAGAGTTTTGGTTCCTTGATTGAACCGATACATTCATCCGCGATTCCCAGACCACAAATGCGTTTCCTCACTCGTCATTACTCAAGCCGTCCCGTAAACACGCCACCAAGAGCTCATCTGCGGCGGTACTGCAATTTAACTGTAAACTTTTCCATTAATGCTCTCAGCATTTTGGCAACGATTTCCTCTCCTTGTCCGGTATTTTCGATAAACTTACAAATATGATTGAACGACTTGTTTACTGGTACGTTTTGTAACGACAGCTGCAACTTTCCACAGAAAAACTGTCAGAACTGTAAAAACGCCATTCCCAACGTTGCTATAAAAAGCAAATTCAACTCATGAACTAGGCGGTACGAGGTCCTGTTGAATCGGCTTTGGGCTCTCTGCCAATCACTTCGTTATTTCCTTATATAAAATCGCTCCCTTATAATTCATAGATGTTTTGGCAGATTTCGAATAAATTAATATTGACCCAACTGTGAAAAGCTCGGCGCCTCGGTGGGATTCGAACCCACCCAGTAAGGGGAAGGCTTTAATACAGCCAACGTTCTAGCCAATTGAGCTACGAAGCCCCGCCGGACGACGTGAGTTTAATCACATTTGGGTCAAGTTACACATTCAAACCCTGGATCTCAGGCCCACCTGCTGGTGATAATTGACCTTGCGTAGTAGATGGAGTGGGCTCTTGAAATAACCTGATGCAAAGGCGTTTTAGGTCTAGTTTTCGTTAGAATATCACTGTGTCGTCAAGTGACTTAGAAACTAGTCTACGTTTGCGCGAAACAGGCACACAGTTTGACAAAAAATAAACAATTTTTCTGTGCAAGCAATTATAAGCACTTAATAACTTTCAGTGGGCGTAACTACCTGCACAGGCCTGAAGGATCATCAGCGAACCAATAGTTTGTTTTTCTTTTGCGGCACCAGTAAATTAGGCACAGTTCGAGAATTTGACGAAAACACTGGAAGAAATTGGCGCAGGCAGATGCGCGTGACAGTATCGTTGCGAGTCATAAGGTTATTTCTCTGATCTGTCAACTTAGCTCATCTTTGAGATCTGCCCGGTTTTTTTCCTAACAGTTTACTTTGAGGATTTCGCACCTAGGTGACATGCCTCATGGAATATTAAATGAAATTCGGCTTTTAATACTGGTTATCACACAACATGTTTCTAATATATTTCAGTCACACCAGGATACCGGATTTCGAATGTGTTACTTACCGGCCACCTACAAAAATCACGCGCGGTAAAAACGACTACTTACTAGTATGGTTTTTAATGTCCTTTCGGATTCAAATATATATTTTATAGAAACCATTCAAAATAACTTCATTTTGCTCACATTTTCTGGTAACTAACCTCCTGTTCAAGCTTTCTGCTCGAAAAAAGGGTAACTGCAATAGACAGAATGGCATTACTGACAAATACAAGGGAGACTGGAATGACCATTTCTGGCTTATTAGCCGTCGTTAGCCAGTCATACCCAACCCCGATGTGTGGAACGCCCAAGGTTCGAACTCGCGACCTGTTAGTTAGAATTCCACGCCTCTAACCACTGGGCCACGAGCCCGTTGCCCTGTCGGTTTCGACCGGGAATATACAATGGTAGGGGGCGCTCACCGATCGTTCATACGGAACTCACGCGTTCCATTGTGCCTTAAGGGCTCTCTCTCTCGAGTCGGTAAAGCCATTCTGCCTATATCATGCGCCGCTGTGCGGCTGCCGGTTGGGCTCCAGAGAGCCCTTAAGGCACAACAGAACGAGTGAATTCCGTATGAACGATCGGTGAGCGTTCCCTACCATGGTAATTTCAATGTTAATAAGTTTTTTATATTCTTGAATTACTTTGAACTCGACTTGCCGTTGCAATTGCGTTGAGGGTCAACAAACTCCAAACTGTACATTTTCCTTTAAGGAAAATCCTAAATTCCTATATGTTATTAGGATGGTATCATATATGGCTCATAAAATACCTTAATGGAAAAGGAGAACGTCATGTGCTGTTATTTAAACAAACATCTCACGGTCTTAAAGAGTTTCATAGTCACATGTTTTTAAGCCAAAAAATATCCCTTCTAGAGGGGAAAAATTTGGAAGGGACGTAATTTGCCATAAAATGAATATTAGAAAATAACATTTTGTGCAGTTATTAGGGTGCCGGAAATCAGTAGAAATTCCATTCCAACTAAGTAATAATTTTAGCAAATGTGGTTATCGTGGGCAACTGGGAAGAAGTGCAGTAAAAATCGGACATCCTGGCGTGACCGAAATATTTCGTGATTATGCTGCATAATAATCAATATCGTAACCTCAAGTCAGTGATTATAGGCAGAATCGTATTACCGACAAAGACAAGTCAGACTGGAATGGCCATTTCTGGCTTATTAGCCGTCGTCAGCGAGTCATGCCCAACCCCGAAATGTGGCACACGTGGGGGCTCGATCCCGCGACCCGTTAGTTAGAAGTCTAAAGCCTTCAACCACAGAGCCACGTGCTCTTTATCCTCTCGGTTGCGATCAAGAATATGCAACAGTAGACGGACTCTCACTGATCGTTTTTATGGAACTCACTCATCCCGTTGTATGTGGGATCGAGCGCCAGGTGTATCACACTTCGTGTTTGGGTTTGAACGACGTCAAGTGTTTTTGATCACAGCCAACAGGACAACTTGCGCGTGGTTTAGGGGGTTGGAGGGTTGCATTTACCAAATACCAACGAGTCTGGGTCCGAATCTTAAACCCCTCGGACCTACAGTTGGGTATACCTGGTTGACGACGACCGACAAGTCAGAAATAGCTGTCCTAATCTTCATTGTCACTATCGTGCTCTCACCTGTGAATATTAATTAAATTTGCCATCTGACACACAAGTTGATGTTAAATCAGGAACCTGTGTCATGAGGTCGCGTAATCTGTTGGATAAATTGTAAAAATTAGAAGACAGAATGGCATTACCGACAAAGGCAAGGTAGACTGGAATGTCCATTCTGTCATTCCACCTGTATCATGAGCCCCTGCACGGCAGCTGGTTGGGATCTTTTCAGTTTCAAGGCACAATGAAACGAGAAAGTTCTGTAGCGCGATCGGTGAGCCTTTCTCTACCATTTTATATGCCAGATCGCAACCGATAGGACAAGGGACATGTGGTTCAGTGGTTAGGGGCTTTGGACTTTAAACAAACAGGTCCGAGTTCGAGCCCTAAGTGTTCCACACCTCGGGTTGGGTGTAGCTGGCTGATGACAGCTAATAAGCCCGAAATGACCATTCCAGTCTCTCTTGTCTTCGCTCGTAACGCTATTCCGCCTATATCCTGCACCACTGTTCGGCTGCTGTTTGGCTTCGGGACAGTGTTCGTAAGGCACAAGAGGATGTGTGAGTTCCGTAGAAAAGATAACTGAGCGTCCCCCTGCCATTGTAAGTGATTATTTTGACTAAAAAGACATTCTCGAAATCCTTTTAACGTTTCATGCAATAGTACTGCGATGGGCACTCCAAATTAAGCCGCCACACGTGATTAGCGACATGACTGCTCAACTTGTATGGCTCATTCACCAGCCGTAGTGAGAGAGAGAGAAAAAAAATTGAGTGCAAGGGCTGACAAGACAGGAGACGAGTTTTAACTGCACATTCGACACGTGCAGTGTGAGTACGTATTGAAATCTCGTTGGTCTCACAGAGAAACCTCGTCTGATGGCTGCCCCAGCTCACACCCGCTATTAGCCCACTGGAAGGTTACATACCACTTGCACAAATTCAGTCTACTGTTGACTAGATAAGTCACTACTGACGGCGGATGACTTAGAATTCAGGCGACTTTACTGGCGCCATTAGCTGCTGCTTTTTCTGGGGTTCGCCCTGTCTTGCGAAACGAATGTTTCAAATAACTCGGGCAGCCTACCCCATGAGACGTTAATCGAAATTCTGAAATGCGTTTTGGATTGCGAAGAATTACTTAAGCGGTGGTTGTAAGAATGATTATCTTGTGGCCTAAGCCCGTGCTATTTCAGACGCGTCAGGAAGTTGACTTTTGAATGTGCTTCTTTTTGATCACCTGCAAAAATCGCACTGGGTAAAAAATGAATGTTTAAGTAGTATGCACTTTCTCAATGGATTTTGGATGTCCTTGTAAATTCAAATATATTTTATGGGACACCTCCATCAAAATATTATTTTTTGTACTCATTTGATAGAAGATCACGTCTTCGTCAAGTTTCATATTCGAAGAAAAGGAATCTTTCAGTTTTAAAGAAGTTTATTTCTTCCGGAATAATTTTAAACTTGATCTGCCGTTACATTTTCGTTTAAGCTTTTCAGTCTACAAGCTGTATACTTTCCGTGTGAGAAAAAAACATATATTTCCTTATTCCATCGAGAAAACATTATATGGGGTTCACAAAATGTTGTAGCAGTTATGGACCAAGTTGTATGCTTAATGCGAGCATTATTAAACAGACAGATACGATAATATTCGAATGGGAATTGCACGATCTTATAAAATCACATGGTAAGAAACCTTTCTAAAATCGAAAATACCCTTTCTTCGAGTATAAAACTTGAAGACATGATATGCAACCAAATGGAATGCAAAAAAAGTATTTTTAAGTATGTCTTCTACAAAATACTTTTCAATGCATAAGAGCATCCAAAGTATATGAAGAAAAGGCATACTGCTTAAGTGGCCATTTTTGCCCTTACGACCGAACTCCAGTGATCCTTCTTAATCAAGAACGAATTTCAGAATTCCGGATAACAGTTCATAAGATCGGTTCCTAAGACAGTACTGGGCTACTTAGGCCGGGCACACACGCCCGTAGCAGCCATGACGAACTCTCTACTCCCTCTTCTGACCTGACCTGGTCCTTCGCACGCATGCGAAGATTTTTGGGGGATTTTATTTGATAGATCATGGTGCGTATGCCGGAACAGGTCACCTAACCAACATTGGAAATTTCGTCCCAGGTCAGTGCTTTTTTAGACTTCAAGGAGTGGCTCTAGTTGGCATTTTCAGGTTTATAGGCACCATCGAGCGGAGCATCAGCTCGGAATTGGTCTACAGGGTACTTCACTGGTTGTCTACCTGTCACTATTACGACGCCTATTGAGCGCGGAGATGAAGACGTCATCAGACTCCGTGTACTTTTAAGAACGTCATGTGCTGTGGTTGTCATATTTGCCTTTACAAATTAAGTACTTTATCTATCCATTCAGGGCAGAAAGTATATTGTCGAGTGTCGGCGGATTCAACTGTCCTATATTCCTCCTTAATTCACCTGTCTACTCTAGCCAAGACAAACTGCGCGTATGGTGGAGGTTACCGCCATGTCCAGTTGCGGTTACTTTAGCCGCCATTTGTTGTTATGGGTCCGAGAAGTCTTCATGAAATCACTGTACTAAAAGAAGGGGGATGGGCAGACTGCTGCTCTTCACCTCGATCATTATTACCCAGAACGAAGTGGCAGGTTTTTCGTTCGACGGGTTTCACTCTGGTTGCTTTTCCAGCTTCTAGGACCTGACCCCTGTCTATTACACTGTCCCTGATCAATGAGCCTCCGCGCTTTGCATCGATGCGACAACCGATAGGCATGAGGCCTGTGCTTCAAATTTAAGGAGACTGACATACATTTCAGCTGTCAAGGAGGCAACTATGCGTCGACGGCAGCTATGGATCTATTCAGTGCCGACAGTCCTTAGCTGTATTTTTTTCATTAAACGCGTACTGAGATCTCTCAGCACAAAAAGTCTTTGACCTTGCTAAAAGAGGGAGAGCGTGAGTGGATTTTGTTAGGGAGGTAGAATCACCTAGAACTCATAATGGTAAACTCACCATTTTAAGGGTAACAGGCCTCCTAGATGTCGACAGTCGACAAAGACATATATATGCCGTGCGAAACTACTAACAGTAACACGAGACGGTGTAGCTATGGGCAGTCCATTGGGACAAGTCCTAGCGGGCATTTTCATGGCAAATCTCGAATGAAAATTAGCCCAAATCTTAGAGCAAACCGCTTTCTTTAGGCGATATGTGGATGGCATTTTCGCCATAGTCAAAAACCCATGAGCTGGAGAATTGCTACTTAATGCCATGAACAAAGAACATGCAAAGATCAAATTTACCATCGAGCATGAGAAAAACGACACATCGCCTTTTTAGAAGTTCCTGTACGTAGGTTAGCAGATGGTTCCATTCAGATCTCCATCTATCGAAAAACCACCTGGAAAGGACAGTATATGCATTTCCTTAGTTTCTTCCC